TTTGTAAAAAAGTCTTAAAAGCAGATTTTTAAACTGGAAAATTTCAACTACCTCTTTTACAAATAAGGAAGTGAACTGAGAGGTCAAGTTATTTATGCAAAGTCACCCAGCTAATTAGTGAACAACTTGGTAATACCCAGATTCCCTTAATGTTGATGCTTTCAGCTATAATATAACCTTTTTTCCATTTCAACCTCATAGACAAGCCAGACAATGCAATTCACAGAACCCTTTCTTTTTCCCCACCTTCGACCTACTAAGTACACAGGTCCTTAATACTTGCTACATTTAACTGATTCCTTTATCTCTAAGATCTGGCCCCCACCTTAACATAATCTCCTTCACCCCATCATAAACTTTTAATGAGTACCTATATTTGTTGAGTATTAAATACATCTAAGTCATTCCATTGGAAAGAAAGGGAAATAGACACACAAGTAAGAATGGCATAGTCCCTTCCTTCAAACTGCTCTACAAAATTAGGAACAATCTGGTATAGTGCTCATTATTATCATCTATTTAAAATTGTGATTTTATAAATAAAGCATAAGAAAAATCAAATTATTAAAATATACCTTATTTCTCCCACTAGAAGCTCTGTGAAGTCAAGCATTTTTGTCTCTGGTTCACTGATATATATACTCTGAGCACCTAGAACAACAGTACCTGACATAGAAAGTAGTTAATAAATATTTGTTGACTGAATGAATGCTACAGAAAAACTCATAAGTAGGATCCATGTAATGTTCCCAACAATGATATGACAGAATATGCAAATCTTTCCTTGTCCTATTGCTTGTACCTAATGATCAATTTTTTATTCAATTGGCTAGTTACTCAGGCCTTGCATTACAAGAAACTAAAAATAGTTCAACCATGGATAAATTATACTGTTTAATTCAATATCATGCCCCATCCAACTGTACCAAACTCTAGAAAATCTGCAAAGAGAGGAAACCTACAGGTCCCTCTACTACTTAGACTTGAGCCATTTTTCCAGTTTAAAATGTCTCCAGATGTTTTTCTTTCTTTCTTACAACAAGTCTGGATTGGTATTACCATCATCATTATTTTACGGAATGAGAAAACTCAGTCAGAGAATGGGTGGCACAGGAATTCAGTCATAGAATCTCTATTCTTCCCACCACAGCATGTGGCCTTCTCTTATCCTTTGAGATTTTTCTCCCACAATCTTAGCTATAAGTAGGATACAATCTCTCTAGGTCCCCTCTTGATTGTTGCCCCATTACAAGCACTACGATTCTCTGAATCAATTGAGGGTAACAAAGAGGGGATGACAAAAATAAACAAATCTGGAGATGTTACAATTCAAAATTTAACTGTGTGTATAAATGCCAGGCCCTATATTAAAAAATCACAGCATCTTTCCAAGTTTTAGTGAGCCTCTAATTTATTGGCTCTCTTTTGAAATAATATAAGAACCTTGCTAGGTAGGTTTCCAAAATGTTCCCTCCTGTCTTCCCAGGATAAGAAATAAGACACAGGGAAAAAGAGCAGGTACATCTCTATCAAGTGAAAAATTTGCATTTCTGAGGACCTTCAGGAGTCACATCACTACTGTGAAAGATGACTGCTTTAGACTATTTCCTCAAAATGTGAGCAATCTTGTCTCTTCCGTTTTTATGGAATACACCAAGCTCCCAGTTCTCATTTTACATTTCCAAACATCTGAACTACTCCTCAGCTCCAAATCTAAAATCCCTATAATAAATTCTCCTCCTAATCTCCTTCCACCAAAACCTATTCTTCATCATAATATCTTTATTTTTGTTCAAAGCAATACTATCCTCCTAAAAATTTGTCTTAGGCCCATTCCCCCACGTCAGTGTAAACATTTCTCAGATCTACAACCTTCACTACAATTCCACCATCACTTCTTGCCTCAACTATTGTAATTAAACTCCGTGGTATGCCTACCTCCAGGCTTCCAGTCCTTCACTGGACTTCTGTTCCAGATGAATATCCATAAAGAGGGGTTCTTTTCAACCAAGAATCATGTACAAAATCCTTAGCCTGTCATGTAAGGATCTCCGTAATCTTTATCTATGTATCCTTACTAGCCCATTCCTTATACATACAACCTTGGCAAATGTTCTCTGCTTTCCTACCTCTACATCTTTGATTGGGCAGTGTCCTTATGTAGAACTAGCTTTCTTCTCCCATCCTTCTCTAACTGCTAACAATATTTCGAATGGCCACATCCTCAATGAAAGAATACCAGTTTAGGCATATCATTTATTGAATACATAAACTGTTCAGTGCTTTAAAAATTATCCTAATCCCCACAGAAACATAATGGCTTAATGCTACATTTCTGAGGAAGGAGTTGAGGAAACTGAGGGCCAGAGGAGCTTACCCAAGGTCATCCAAACCAGCAAGTAAAGAATCCAAAATAATCCCATAGTGTTCTGTATTTTTTAATAAAACAAGACAGAAGGCTTTAGTCAGAATACCTCTGTGCAAATTCCAGTTACTCCACTAACAACCTGTGTGAACTCAGCAAGTTCCATATTTGTGATGCCTTCCTCATCTATAAAAAGAAGATAATACCACTAGCTACCATGACTGACAATAGTGAGAATTACATGAGATAATACAAAGTGCTTAGAATTGTATTTGGCCCACAGAAAACAACGTTAGCTATTATTACTGTTGTTGCTATTTATATACTAATGTAAACTGACAATACCAATTATCATATGTTCTCACTGTTCTCTAATCAACTTTTGCATAATGTAAAAGCTCTGCCAAAGCTTAATACTATATTTTTACATATGCTCAATAAATATATACAGGATATATGAATTCTTAAACAATGATTAACCATCATACTTTACGAAAAGAAATTCACTTGCTTATTGTTTCCACTTTTGAGAAAACTAACAATGCTTACCAACCTTCTCTTTTTTATGTGAAACTACTGTATGCAATGCCATATGGTAGTAATATGTCAAATGAAGCAAAACACCATTTTGATTCAAACTCATTTTGCCTTCTGCTAATTAATTCCCAGATTTTAAAATGTCCAAAATCATACTTTTTTATTTAAACACCAACTGTTTTTAGGTCATATCAACATAAAGTATACCATGACATCTGACCAAGCCATTTCTTTTCATACATCTCTACATCAAAAACTATAAAATATAAAATGTCTTCCTATCCAATTTAACTTGAAGTTATAAATCTATCGCCTTATTCCTGCCCTTACTTTCTCAAATTAGTGCCTGAAAAACTTCTGATAAATCTGTTACTCTGGGATGCTGAAAAACATCAAAGGAAGGGTGCTGAATACTAACAGTTTAGGCCCCTCCAAAACGCTTTAAACAATGATAGATGAGAATTTACTCCAAACCCTTCAAGCATTAAATCTCATAAACCAAGATTCTGTCCATATGATTTACTATGATACATGGAGACATCAAGCTAGCTGTCTTTGAATACAGGCAAAGATAAAAAAATTAATAAAGCAGTTGTCATTCCTTACACAAAAACTGGGCTTCTATCCAATCATTTAAAAAAAAAAAATTTGAATCTTAACTATGTAACAGACATTTTATTTCAATTAATTCTTATAATTCTTCCCTTATTTACAAATAATATCACATAATTAGTAAGTGGCAGAGCTGAAGGCTATACGCAGCCTGACTCCCAAATTTTGGACCCAGCATTTAGCCATAATCCACAATAATATGGTATACATTTACATCCTCTTCTTCATACACACGCTTAAAAAAAATAAAGAAACAAAAGCTTCATTAAATATTTACTCTATTCCATAGGATGTCCTCTGATATCTTTTTCTCTTTCTTTCTAATGTTAATGTCAATGCATTAAATTGATTCCAATCCATTAGTAAGTTCCCATGTCCCTGCACAACAGCATTGCACTACAATTCTTACATTCTTTTTAAAGTTTTTTTATTGCTACCACAGTCCAGTTTTGATACTCTGAAGTGAAGTTAATCTCTATCCATTAAAAATTGTCCTTAAATAGATTTAAACCTTCAAAGCCCCTCCTTAAAAATTGAATTGATCTGTTTCTCTACTAGAACTCTTTGGTGGCACGCCCATCTTATTTAAATTGTAATCAAAAACTGTAGATGCTCTCCTCAGAGAACAGATCATTTTTTAAAGAAATGCATTAGTTTTCACTGTTCCTGCAGCACCAGGAACAAACAATTAACAGGCAGGTTTGGGGCAACAACAGAGAACCTGAGTGGCTCGGTGCTGAAACTGAGGATGAAAGGATAGTTTTTGGAAATTTACAATTGCTAAATTAGGACAAAAGAGAAGAATTTACCAAAAGCTGGCAGAGATACTCAATGGTTACCACCAAAGTTGCGTGAGTGCTTCTGGAATGGCTTGGCTTCAGTGTCTGCCCACTCCCTCTCTGGTACAGAGTTCTTTCATCAGTATGTCAACTCAGTAAGCGTCCTGACAGAGCTGCTGACTTTAAGTGATGGTGCGTGGAATCTGTCCCTAGCAGAGTCACGTCCCACCTTCAATCTGAGTTTCCAGTTGGGAATGGAGGGATAGAAGGAGGGATTAAAAGGTCAGAAAGAAAGGAGGTGACAGCCCTCTTTATTTTCAAAGATTAAAGAGTTCCCTCAACTAAAATCAAGCAATTTCTCTCGGGGACTTTGCGGTAAGTACCTGACCAAGAGACTTCCCAAATATCTTCCCAGGCTCCTGCTACCTCAGCAGGGGAATGTGAGAAGCCAAAAGGATAAACTAACAACTTCAGATACAAACAAACGGTACGGGGATGTGGAAGAACTAGGTCTTCCCAAAGCAGGGCTTTATAACCTTTCGCAAAAAGCCTAATTTCCTCCGCGCCCAGCCTGGGCAGGAGTAGCAAAGACCTGAGCAGTCCGGCCGCCTCAGAGCTCGAGAGCCAGCGAGAGGGTGTGTTCTCCCAGCCAGGCCCTAAGAGGACAACCCGCCGCCCAGCCGCTGGAAGGCCGGAGAGGTTCTTACCTGGAAGCCTGATCCCGCAACATAAACAGGCTCACCCGCCGCATCGCTGCGGAAGAAGTTCCTCCCCGGACTGCAAGACTGAATATTCACCGACTCCCACAGCCTGACGTCGAAGCAGGGACAACAACCTAGAGGCGAGACGGAAGTCCCGCCCCGCGCGCCTCATTGGCCCATACCCGAAGGCAGAAAAAAGCCATTGGGCCA